ATGTGACTGATGACCAAGTAGTCAAACACCTGAGCATATAGAGGACACAGTCCTTTAAACCACTGCATCAGACATTCACAGTAGTATCTGGGGATTCATTCATGAGTGACAGGGCAGTAAAAAACCAAGACAGAGAGAAGGTTAGGAGATTGGGGCTTCAAGCAGGTCACAGATAGACAGAGACCTCTTCTTGAGAATGAATTGTGTTCAGTTTAGCATTCGAGGACCTGAGATCAGATGTCCAACAGTGTTGTGTGAAAGGCCTAGTGGGAACACAGATGAGCACCGAGCTCACAGCAGGCAGCTCCACTTTCCATGCTAAGCTGTGCCATTACTCCAGGAGCTCTCTTTAACACCAGGCTCCATGTTGAATTTACCACATGTTCTTTGATGCCTCCTTTCCCCCTATGTTTTCAGCTAGATTTAAGACCCTAAAACACAGATAATATCAGATATACTTTATACTTCAACACTTGATAAAAGTCACGAAAAGTACTTTTGAAGTAAGTCTTTGGGTAACATGGTGTGTATCCGAGAAGTCCCTCCAACCTAAGACAGTCAAGGATCGCATAGAAAAGACGGTGAAGAGCTGGTGGGCCTCTTGGATAGAATCTGCTCTTCTGACCTTTGTCCTTCAGAAGAAGACTTGGGATCACAGAAACATGAGTCCTGTGGCTTTCTGGTCATACTTTGGAACTCACCTGCATGTTTCTCTCACAGGTACACACTTTCTTAGTTGCAACATGGTCATCAAGGCAAAAAGTCTCTCGAGTGAAGGACAGTGCTCAATGGATGGAATAATTTTCCTTCATTTTAATGACACAAAGAAGACCACATCTTTGCATAATCTGGGGAAGATGGCAAATGCCACTGAAATGAGGACATGTTTGACCCAATGGCTGGAGCAGTTGGGCCAGAAGTTAAGGGACAAGGTGAACACTCCCAGCGGTAAGTGTGGGATAGAGTGAGAGGCAGAGACATTGACAAGAGAAGAAGGGCAGAGAGCATGTGGGAATGCAATGGTGGATGCATTTGTGTGAAGGAGCTGAGCAGTTGTGGTCCCTTGCAGGCACAGGGTCACAATGGGTAACAAGAACAAGTTGTGTGGCAACAATACTGACACATAAGCTTGTGGAGAAAGACTTGACCTTCGTGGAGGTGATGGACGGATCAGAAGTGAAGAATGATGGTTTTGTCTGTGACTTGCAGGTTACTCCACTTTACAGGTCACCATGGTTTCTCAATGCAGCCAAGGGCAAATCATTGGTGCCTGCTGGCTATTCAACATCAGTGGAAATTACTCCTTCATCTTTAACACAATGACTATGACCTGGATGCCAACTAATTCTGTACCAGAGAATAACATGGATGAATGGAGAGATGATGTGGGACTTAAAAAACATCTGAATTTCTCCATAGCAGAATGCAGTCAGAAATTCAATGAATTCTTAAAGCAGCACAAGGAAAAGCCAAGTAGGTATTACCTAGATTATCAGAAGGCACTTCTGATACAGGCTGAGTGAATGATTTCTGTAGTATTCCTATCTGGGGAGCCAGTGATGACCACAAGAATGCCTCATTCCACCTCACAGTCCAGTGTTTCTCATTCCCTATTAAGCAGTGGTCCAGGCTCTACATGGCCTGGTAATGAGTCCCAAGCCTGTGTGCATCAGTGTAGACTTCCAGCCTTTTCATCCTCAGGGATAGCTGCCCTTCCACCAGCTCCACCATCACTTCTAAAGGATTTATTATCTTGCTTTGGCACAATTAAACACCATCAATTTCCCCAACATCCAGAAAGCGATATCCTCAGTACATCTATCAAGTTGTGTGATGGTTTGATAGACATTAACTTTTCTTTGTGATGAAATAAGCTCTCCCAAAACATCACATGTACAGCTCCCACTTCTCTCTCTACTCAGGACTTTGTAAAATCATTCTTACATGTGAGTCCCTCATGGCTGCCTGGGGAGGGAAGGTGCCGATGGAGGTGTGTTTTTAAACTTTATTGAGAACTTTCCTATCTTTTTTTAAGGATCTACATCCCATTTCCCCGATACCACCCAGCTGACATCAACTACCCAGCTTACATCAACTACCCAGCTTACATCAACTACCCAGCTTACATCAACTACCCAGCTTACATCGACTACCCAGCTTACATCAACTACCCAGCTTACATCAAATACCCAGCTTACATCAACTACCCAGCTTACATCAACTACCCAGCTTCCACCTACCAGCCAATTTCCTTATAAGGAAGTATTTATCCCTGTGGGAATCATCTTCATAGTCTGTATTATTTGCATTTGTATACATGTGAAGAGGAAATCTTGTACCCAAGGAGGTAAGGAGCAAGCTGGGGTCTTATTTGGTTCTTGGTAGGGTCGTTCTGTAGAGGACTTGCAATAGGTGTCCTACTGGGTCCTAGGGATGGGAATTCTGCTCCCCATGCTTGCACAGCAAGTGCCAGTGAGCATCTTTCTTCAACTAAAACTGACCTGTTGAGAGTCTGACTTCTAGTTCAGTCAACTATCTTCTGCTCAGACCATGAGAATTGACTGAAACAAGCTTCTAAGCACCTCACTTGCATGCTCTCCTATAATGGCCCATTCAGGGACACTGAGCCTATATAAATTCCCAGAACAATTGCAAAGGTATTTTCACACAGTCAGTTAAGACTGCCCATTTACTCTCTCTGTCTTACTACCCTCCATGTTGCAAGCAATAATGCCTGTTGACCCTAGATATGGGTCTGTCTGAGAAGTGGTTTGGTGGCCTGGAACTCTAAATCACCTTCCTTAGTCAGGGGTCATGACATGTCCGAGTACAAATTTAGAAATGACTTTCAAACTTCTCTACTGGGAACAAGAGCTAATTACTTTCAGAATCACAGTCTGCCTTTCACTTGAAAACCTCCCCAGACAGAAATCTTCAGCTGCTCATGAACTACTGCATCAACTGCCACAAGTCACAGAAGAATGAGGGACCAGAGGAGACAAGAAGAGAGGTTCCCAAGCACGCCACCAAAATGTTGTCCCAGGAGGAAGAGCCCAAGGCATGCAGGTAAAAGCATTTACTCGACCAAACATCCTTATCACCCATCAAGATGCAGGAATCCCTCACAACATAGGGAACAATGGATGTAGGAGAATGCTGATCTCCAGCCATGACCTCACTGCTGAGCCTTTGAACTCTCAGCAGCTCTGAGAACTTGCAGGATCCCTGCACAAGAGCAGGCCTGTCAATCATCCCTTCATGGATCCAAGGGCCTCATGAGGTTCCTCAATCACTGAAAATTTTCTACAGTTAATGGCACCAGAGCTGATTGTATTCATTTGTGTAGTCACTGATAAGGAGCGTGTATTCCTGCAAATAGCACCTTCCCCACACTCCTATAAATAAGTCCAAATTTAGTCATTTGATCAATTAGGATTTTCAATTTAAAGAGAACTCCCATGAAAGTAAAGGGTGAGTCACTGGGGAGAGGAGAGCTATGGTGGAGTGGGCAGGGGACAGGAGAGGTGATTGAAGGGTTGATGTGACCAAAATGTCTTAACACAAGCATGTGAACACATCATAGTGAAATCTATTATGGTGTACAATTAATGTGCAAATACATTGCTGAAAGTTTGATTTTTATTTTTAATGTGTATGAGTATTTTGCCTATATGTATATATGTATGTGACATGTGTACCTGGTGTTTGCAGAGGCCAGAGGAAGGCATCGGATCTCGTAGAATTGGAGTTACAGATGTGTAACAGGGTACTGGGAAGTGAACCCAGGTTCTCTCCAAGATCAGCAAGTGCTCTTAATGATTGAGCATTCTCTCCAACCCTTTAATAAATATCTTAATAAGAGAATGTGGCCTGAATATTATTAAAAATTTGGCAAGTCCTACAGCAAACTTCACAATAAAGTTGATTGTTTTCGTATCAAAAAGTAAAACATGTTTGAAAATGACTGTGGATTGTAATGGCTAATTATGACATCATTTGTAGCAGTGTGCCATGGAATCTTGGTGACAGGGGCTCACAGCTCCTTCTAACAAAAATGCCTGGCAATACAGCAATATGTAATGAAACTGGTAAATACAAGGTATGTGCTCAGAGATTTATGTCAACTTGACATCCGGTAAAATCATATGCGAAGAAAGAACCTTGGTTTTAAAATGCTTCCATAAAATCAGGCTGGTGGCAAGCCTGATGGCATTTTTTAAACTATTAATCAGAGAGAGGGCCCAGCCCATTTTGGTGGTCCTTTTTTATAAGACAACAGGCTGAACAAGCCATGGGGAGATATCTAGTAAACAGCACCCACTCATGGCCTCTGCATCAGCGCCTGCCTCCATTTTTTCAATGGATCATGTCAATGGATAGTGATTTGGAAGTGTAAGCCCTTTCCTTCCCAAGTCCCTTTGGTCATGACGCTTCATCATAGCAACAGTAACCCTCTCTAAGACAAATTGGTACCAAGATAATGTGTAGTATGCTGCAGTACACCTGGGACATGTGTTTTGAGGTGATTTGTAGAAGGACTTGGGACGCCTGGGCTGGAAAAGCCATTGAGTGTTGAGAGGCAACTGGTCCATTCTTCAGGACCGTGGGTGATAGGAATGTTGACAGTGGTGTAGACAATGTAGATCTGGCTTGTGAAGTTTAGGGAAGCAGATGCTACCAAGCTGTCTGAATTAAGAATCAATGGTTCTGGGTAGCTGGGGCTGAAGAATCAGCTGTAATTTACAAGATTCCAGAACTACTTTTGTGAAACCTTTGCTTTGCTGGGATACTGAATGCAGTTCATCTGGAGCTGAGAACTTAGCAGTCATTAGAAGAGAGTAACATCATTGAGGTGAGACCATCTGGAAAGTGTTTCCTGAGAATCAGTACACAGAAGCTGTTGCAGGCATGGCCAAGGTTGGACCTTGTGCTGATATCTGAACTAATTAGTGTAAGAGCCAGCCTGGTAGTACTGGTTTTAAGATGTGAAGGGGTCACAGAGAGCAGTTGAGACTAGCTGCTCTGTGGAGGCTTGGAGTCTATGAAGAGAGCCCTGGACAGGCTACTAGTGAAAGTGTGGCTAAAGCCAAAGACTCTAGCATTTTGAAAATGCCAGTGCTATGGGATGATAACCACGAACAGCAGCAGCATTAGAGTGGAACCCACCAGTGCCTAGAAGCAAGCTATCTCTACTGCAGGGGTCAAGCTGGAGAAGTAACTCAAGTGCTGATTGGGAGCCAGGTATAGGGCAACCTTGGACCCTGCATCCAGGTTTACATTCATGGCACTCACTAGAGGCTCTGCAATATTCTTTGGAGCTTGATATTATGGCTAGAACTCATCTGATATGTCCTGAGAACTCCCCCTTCAGTGAATATCAACAAGGAGAAGGGCAAAGTGCCAGGAGCCTTCTAACTCAGGGTGACAACCCTGCAACCACAGAGACACTGGTGGAAGCTCAGAGAGCACTTTCTAAATCTGACAGTTGTGTTTCTGCACCAACTAGCACTAATGTGTTAACATAAAGTTAAGGAAATCATAGAGACTACAGCCTAGAATTTGTCTCAGTATGTATCTGAAGCTAATGGTTTGACTGTGGAAGACTCAGGAGAAGTGTGAACACTAAGTTGTAAGGAAAGATGAAAAACTTGTTTCTTCACCTCATCCAATTGAAATGCCCGATTGAGAAGCAACTGTAAAATATTATAGTACCACATGAAGGTAATCACCAAAAACCCCCACGTGATGTACACCAAAAGACAATGAGGCAAGCTGAGTTCCCCAGTGGTAGACAGATGCAGGAGTGTCCCTGATGCAGAAACTGAGTTCTAAGTTCCTGGAGCATGAGCTGACTGAAGGGTGTTCCATGACATGTGGAGCTTCTAAGGGGACAAGGCCCATTCTCTTCCCATGTTCCTCCTTGTTATCAAATGGACATCTCAAACAGAGGCCCAGGGGCATTGCTAGACAGCACAACCCACAGAAACATGTGATGCATTCTGAAAGTTTTCAGATAACAGATCCTGAGAAAGAAATGATCACATACAGTGATGGCAACCTTCTTCTAATGACCTAATAGGAAAAGTGAAGTCATCTCTTGATTTTTAGTGCACTTCTGTTTGTCGGTCTCTTTGTCTGTCAGTGGTAGTTTGTAGTTTGGTACAGAGCAGACAAGCACACAGTACTGACAGTGCAGCACCCTCCCTGGTAAGAGCATTACGCTCTAGCATGCTCTTTACCTGTGCATGAAAAGTGTTTTTTATTTTACTCTGTTTTGTTTTCTTTCTAGACAAGGCTTTTCTATGTAGCTCTGGCTGTCCTGGAGCTCGTTCTGTAGACAAGACTGGCCTTAAACTCAGAGATTTGCCTACTTCTGCTTCCCTAGTGCTAGGATTAAAAGGTGGCACAACCACTGCCTGGCAAAAATACTCTTTTATCTATTTCATGTATCAAATCATGGCCTAAAAACCCAACCACTCAGTCATGTCAATAGCTACATTGATGTAATTTTCAAATCAGCAAGGGGTTCATTGTTAATCTGGAAGGTAAACGGTCACTCAGAGGATGTGCATTCATCTCTTGGGTCTGCTAAAATTTGAAAACAAAAAGTGCTATCTACTGACCCATGTAAGAATTTCCTGGATTACCTGAATAACCATGAGATATTGAGATTTGATTTTAAACAAACAAACAAACAAACAAACAAACCATGGATAGGCGGAGAGAAGTATTGATGATTAAGAGCACTGGATACTCTTGCAGAGGACCAACATGGTGCTCACAGTCATCTAGAACCCAAGTTCTGGGAGTCTGACACTCTCTTTTTTGGTCTCCATGGGCACCTGGCATGTACATGGTGCACACACATACAGTAATAAACAAAACACCCATACCCATAAATGCCAAAAGAAGCAATTCTATGGGCATTATTCCTGTGTTAAATTAAAATGATGGGATATATTGCTTCATTTTAACATTTTTTTTTAAAAATAGGTATTTAAAGTAGTGTTCTGGTAATGAGGCTGCCATATACAGATGAAAGGATGCATGAAAGAAAATGTAAGGTAATCAATGCTTATATTCAAAGTAAATCAGCCTTCCAGTCAACCATCTAAATGTATACTCTAAAGACAAATGCAGAACAAAGTATCCCCTGGCAAACAAAAGATAAAAAGATAAGACAAGAAACTTCAAAAGTAGAAAACATAGATACAATAAAAAAGAAAACCAGAAAAGGAGAAATAACTCAGTATGGACCCCTAGTTCCTTTATCCTTGGAGCCCTCTGATCTCACTTGGAAATCCATGGTAAAGGAAGGGTCAGCGGTACCCAAGTCAGTAATGCGATACACCATATAAAAAGAATGAAGGGCAAAGCTTCATGAGCCCTCACCAAATGCAATAACAGAAAAAGGGGTCAATACCTAGCACACTCTCTGATGAAATCTGTCAGTAAACTAAGTATGGAAAGCATGTCCATACACCAACACACTCACAAGACGAGAATGTAACACAGTTAACAGCATTGTTAACAGTGAGAAGCTGAGCCCAGGAAGGTGCCCACTCTCACAACTTGTACTTAATGTGGCACTAGAAGTCCTAGCTAGAATAATTGGCCAAGAAAAAGAGATGAAACGCTCCCAGACTGGAAATGAAGAAGTCAAGGAATCCCTCCTTCCATATGACATTGCAGTAAAGTTAGAAAATGCTGCAAGAGCCAGCAAAGTGAAATTAGGAGTAAGAAATCAAGTATAAAGTTGTAGTATTAAAAAATCAGCAAACAAAAAATAAGTTGTGTTTCCACACACTAATAACTTATGATCAGAAAATTAAGAGAACTGTTTTACTGTCAGTAACATTAAAAAAAATGAAACACAAATAAACTCAGCCAAAGGGATAGAAGATCTCGGTTTGCTTAGGAAAGATCTGTTAACAGGAAAGACATTGCAGGGGACACATAGTGTGTTCACTGATTGCAGATAATATTGTTAACAGTGTTCATACTAAGGAAAGTGATCTATAGACTCTATGTAACCACTATTGAATTCCTAATAGTATTCTCCATAG